GCTCGTTTGGATACCCCCAGACTCCCTGAAAACGGTCCACCAAACCGTCTGTGAAATGGTTGAGGCCTCATGGAGGTAAGTCAAATTGTATATTTGCCTTATTGAATTTATGCTCACAATCGCTCAGCACCTTAATCTCATCTGTTTGGCATGCATGTGGGCTTGTTCGGATACTCCCAAACTCCCTGAATATGATCAACAAAACTGTTTATGAAAAGGTTGAGGCCTTGGTTGATTGTTATACATTGAATATAAAGAAATATAATTGAATGGGGTTGATAATACTGTGGAAATGTTGAGGAAGCTTGCAAGAACAGGGCTAGCAAATAATTTGAGTAAAGAGAGAGCAGAGGCATCACTATTCATATGCTTAGGGTGCTAAAAGCAAGTGTTAAGCAATGATTTGGTAGATTTGACTAGAAAATACAATGAGGAGGATGAGGCGTTCAACTGTGGGAAGAAATCATTTTCGTGGGAGAAAGTCAAATTTCAGTGTTACCGCGCTGAAAAAAGTCTTGAGATCCCAGGTAATAAACGAGTCTCTTCGTAAACTCAGAGGACTCGTAATTGTCACACACAGGCAACATAGGATGCAGATTGAGATGGGATGTTGAGAGGGGAACGCCGCTCCCATCTTGTCTTCATCAGGTTCTGCATACATACCCAAGGTGGGGAAGCTCGACGTTATGACATCCCACCTGTTAAGGGACTGTCAGCACGGCGAACAACCCGCAGACACACAACTTCGCCGAGGAATGGCTTCCAGAGGATGTTGTCATCCCTAACCGGTGCGTGCTGAGTGGACATGTCGTGAATTCCCAAGTAAAAAAGCGAAGATCGGATCCATGAGAAGGTGACTGGAGAGCTCGCAACAGGGCAGGGTGATGGATGGAAGAACATTGCATAAACATCTGTTGTTGCAACACTGATGAGTGTTTGAGGTATGGACAGCAGATTACAATGTGGCGCGACGAGGTGGGCCACGACAACCACGATATATTCACGTCGGCATCAAATAACCGTGATTACCGGTATCCCACAAAATCTATTGACCTGGTCAGTCAATGTTTATTGACTGACCCCCCCTTTATTGACTGACCCTTTGACTGACCAGGTCTGACCCTGGTCAATGCCAACACTGGATATTAAGACAACGGAATCCAAAGCTGTAAAAGCAAGAAGAACATTTTGTTCATATTAGTATCAATAGTGTATATACAAGTTTCTGGAATAAAATAACAAGATCTGAGAGAGGAGTTCCAAATATACAGCTGTATGCTATGCTGGTCATCAAGAAAGCTGCCAGGAGATAGATTAAGTCAGTAATATGATAGTTACCAAGAATGAGGGAAGGATCAAGTGATTTTTGCCTTCTCAAGGTCATCCATTAGGCTATCAGGAAGCACTCGGTGACCCTTGTACTTCCTGGCTGCCCATGCTGCTTGTCGGCCATTGAGACCTTTAACATAGGCATCCATAAATTTTTGAGAGCGATTAGAGAAGCTATAAGATTCTATTGTTAGGTAACTTTTTTTCAAAGGGAAATAAGACAAACCGTCGCATTTGCGCAAGAGAAATTGAATCAAGCACAGCTAGCGCATACTTTTCAAGAACTTCTTCCTTCGAGGATGGCGGGTTTAAGCGATAAATCCTCTTGGCGTAGCCCCAGCACTGCTCAATAAAATTTAATTCACAGTGAAAATTTGGAAGATATATCAACCTGAATCCACGAGTGTTGCAGGTGTTTTTGAGAATGGTGGGAATGTGCGTGAAATCGGGTTGATTGTACAGAACCCAGTGACAACAACAATCAATAGCCAGTGGAGCGCATTTGAAGTTCTTGCATTCCGCATGGAGTTTCAACTCCTTAACAAGTCCACACTCCTCCAAGATGTATGCCATTCCCTTGAACACGCCGGTGCGAGGATGACCTTCTGGGAAATACAGCGCTTGGGGAGTCCCATCAGCAAAGCGTGCATTACCCATTTTGATTTTCTCCTTGGCAGTTGTTCTGTCAGGTAGGTGAACTGGATTTCCTGTATTGTCACGCTTTGTAACTTCAACCACCCAGTTATGTCCTTCCTTTGGGATATTTTTTGGCATCCGACGAGCCGAAAGCAAGCCATCCGGTCTTTTCAGATGTGTGGGCGTGTTGTCATAAATGGAAACATGCTCATACTCAGGGTACCACTCCGTGAGTATGTCCATTGCACAGTTGGCTTGGTCAACGATGTCATCTGCCGTCATATATCCATCACAATTCTTTCCTGGCTTCATGATTATGCGAGTGCTTTGTTTCCCATCTGGCGACTGGAGCCAACCAAATTTGGCTGACACAAACTTGCCAATCATCAACGGCGCGCCCTCTCCTTTTGTATACGGTTTTTCTGGGGAATCCTTGTGGTACCACCCACGCAGTGTACGATCGTTTGCATAGAATATGCACTCGTCGTTGAACCAAGATATGACTGTTTTTCCATCAGGTCGAGGACCATGTTCCTTCTCATTCTCTTTGCTCCAGTTTTCCATTCGAGCTTCAAGCACTTTCCATTGTGGTAAGAAAGTGTGGTCCTGGTAATAAACGACGTCCTCACACTCATGACCATCTGCATATTGACCTTTCTTTGCAGTGCGGAATCAGTAACCCAGTGCATTCAGGTATCAACGCGCTGTCCGTTCAGAAATCGCTTTGGTAATGCCATGTTTCTGTTTCACCTCTTCCTGAGCAAGAAAACTGACCACCTTCTTTGCCGAGACATCCTTTCCGATTTCTTGGAGATACAAATTGATGTCCAGGGATAAATCCTCATCAATGAGCATCGATTGGTTCCAATCTCCATAGGGATTAACCAGAAGAAAGGTACGATCATCCAGGAATTTCCGCACCAGCGTGGTAAGTTGACGTGTGCAATAATGACCTCTCCCCATAGAGACAGTAGCTTGGAGGGCAGATGCACCCCATTTTCTGTATGTATGTGAGTGGGGGATTGTGTAAAAATTCAGCATGCTGACCATGCCTTGCACCTTTTTTCAGACAAAGAGATCCAGGCCGGGATCTTTGTGTCCAGCACCTGTTTTTCGTGGGGGATCAAGAATCTCTTTCAAATCTTTCAGGGCAGCCCTGGCTTGGTCTAACGTAGGGGCTTGGCATTGCTTCCCATCTCGAATTTCTTTCATTTCTGGGAGGTCTTCATGAAACAATATGTGAGTGATTTCAAATTTTCCAATAGCTCGAAGATCTATTTTACCTGCATCTTCACCTATTTCTTCATCCTCTACATCCAGGGAATGGGCCTCTTCCTTGTCGGCATCCTGATCCTTTTCATCCCAGGGGTAGGTACCTGTGAAAAACTCTGACACAGGTTTCTCGATCTGGAATGATTGATATCTGGGTGCCATAAGGTCCGCCATATGTGGTACAGGGATCTGGCATTGAAAGGAACCAAGGAACATGTCAATGCAATCCTGTTGACTTTGACCCTGGTTCATCACAGAAGATGGCTGTAATGTGGGGTCTGACCTGACACGTCAATGTTCTGTTTCCATGCAGCAGACACATTTTCTGACGCGTTTTTTGAAGGTTTATCTGTCGTAACGCCATTCTAAACAGCTTAAATGCGACAGAACACATTTAAGATGGATCTTTAGCCTCACATTTTTACCACCTGTGAGCTTTTTTCTCTTCACCGAATTCTCATCCTTTTCCCATGGATTTGTTCTCTTTCCAGGGCCCTTCCCCATACTTGCAAGTCATGCAACAAGTGCCTTCTGTAGTGGTGGCATGTGTGTTGAGGTTAGGACAGATAATGGAGGGTGCGCGGATGTATTGCGACACACCGTTTTTGGATCTACTTCTCGAGATTTTGCTTTTGCGCCAAAAATTTACCCACAAATATAAATTGACACTAATATCTACAATATGTTCTGGCCCGATTAGCTACAAACTGTGTGCTAACTAGATTGAAGAGCAATCTGTAAAAAATTGACCGTTTTGGAGGCTGTCACACTCAGCATGTGACATTAGCGAGGTATGGCTGTCCGCTACCTTACGAGGTACTACCTTTACGTATTCTGGGCAAATCCCTTGACAACGTAGTCGACGTGCAGGATCATTAATAGATACATTTTCTCAAGAATGTAGCGGAGGCATGGGCGTCAGTGATGAGGAGCAATACCGGACAAGGACGCGTCGCACCCCTAAAAGTCCACGTGCAACATGCTCCAAACTTCTTAGCCTCAAAAAGAGAAATAGAACTCCCAAAATCTCAAATATTTTTCGATAAACTTGTTATACCACTGAACCCCTGCCCAATTCCAAAGTTTTTTGGGCAATAGTGCTATGTACGGAGAGTTATGGGCCATTTAAGATATTCCCTGATGCACATTTACGTTCACCAATTTGTACTTGTTTGTCTGGGCCTTTCACCCTTAGTCAATGTGGTGTTGCACAGTCCTTGGTAAGTGTGATGACCAGTGACATGCTGTGACATAGCGTCACAGGGCCAATTTCTTGAGACATGGACTTTGTACCTTCCACAACACCAATCCAATATATTTTTTGCAGTGGGTTTGAGGGAATGATGTGATTGAATCCACTAAGAGAGTTTTCCATGTAGAAATTGTATTTATTGCTCCAAAAATGCGAAATCAGCTTGTTTTCCCTGCCAAATTTGGCACTCTGGAGAGATTGGACTATAACCTTCCAACCACAACACATATGGACATGGTTTGTAGGAGGATATTACACTTCAGTCACCCACCTTGACCAAGCTATTAGCCTTGTAAAATGTAAGAATGTATCCAGGCTAATAGGTTCTTCGGCCATTTATTTTTTTGCCTCTGGAGAAAAATATATTATTGCATTGGGCAAAAATGTTTGGCCTTCAATATTGTGACTGGAAATATTTGGGCTGATATTTTGTATTGAAAAATATCCTAGCCATCTGAAAGTGGTCAGAAATATTTGAAGCATGTTAGAGTGGTAGGAAATATTTGAAGTGTTTCAGACTGGTAGGAAATGTTTTAGTCATGTCACACTGCTAAGAAATATTTTAGCCATGTCACACTGCTAAGAAATGTTTTAGCCTTGTCACACTGCTCAGAAATCTTTTGACCATGTCACACTGCTCGGATATATTTTAGCCATGTCACATAGGCCAAATATTTCCTGCCAGTGTCATGGAGTATCTGGGGTCCTAGTTTCAAAAAAAAAAACTTCAAAAATTTCTGACCATTCGAACTTTTATCTTCTGGATTCAACTTTTCTACAAAATTTATCATAAATATAATTTTGGTCCTAAACTTGCCTTTTTACTCCTATATTGTATTTTTATCATAGAAAAAGCAGATTATATATTGCAAGCGACTGTATCTATTTGTATTCAGCTATTTGTTGTATAGTTATAGCCTCTAAATTCTGCTTTATCATATAATAAAGATTGTTACTGACTGCTCTTATATTGAGTTTATATTGATAATTGCCTATAATAGAGCAGTTTTATCTACTGAATCATTACTGTTGTCTATTATTCTTGCAAATTACCAGAAATAAATATTGGCTAATGTGCAAGCCATATTCTTCACTGCAGTAGACCTATGTTTCTGAAAACTAGAGAGAGTTCTGGGGATTGTTACATTTACCATGCTAGCGATATCTTTTCACTCCCATAGAGGTATATGCCTGAGTGCCGGAGAGAGTTCTGAGGATTGTCAGAGTCTGATGTTTCATGTAAATGTATATGATGTGATGTATTTGTGTTTGTTGACTATAATGACATATTAAATTTCTTTCTTGAACATCATCATGACTGCCAGTACTTTACTATGCCCCACCTATTTTTGCAGAAATGGCTACAATCCTGCAGAATTCTGATCTCTCTATTAGAAATACTTGCATTTTCTTTTTTAGACATCAATTTTAGACCTTGACAAGAGTACCCAACAAGAAGTCCTATTTTTTCTCTCATTTTTACCATATTTTATAAATGATTTTTATTTAAAATAGTAATATCTCTCATGCAAAATAGACTCTGAAATCAGCCCTGCAACATTATGACCACCAGTGATTACCATCTACATTTTGTCCAATGCTACTCTCATTTTATTGTGATCTTCTGGCGATATTTACATAAATTACTTAATTTGGCAATATGCACAGGTCATGTCCACCATGCATCCACATTGTCAATAACAATAGTATGTATGTTGTTTTTTTCTGTTTTCTTTTCTGATTCTCACACTAGATTTGTATCAATTACTATATTACAAAATGCACACAAACTATGTATATGGTACCTCAATCTTCCTCACAACAATCTATTATTGTTCTTTTTTTGCTCTAATTTTCTGGCTATATTTTTATTATTTACTATATTTGGAAATACACACAGACCAAGTAACCAGTGCACCAAGAGCTATTTACATCACATGATTTCTTCTTATTTTACTAATTATAATTATATAAATTACTACATTAGGAAATGTGCACAGGCCATGTATATACCCAATATTGTCAACAACAGTCCATTTTCTTATTTTTCTGGCTATATTTGTATCAATTACTATATTAGGAAATATGCACAAACTATGTTTATAGTATGTCAATATTGTCAATGATAGTACATTTTTTATTCTAATTTTCTGGCTATATTTTCGTTAATTACCATATTTGGAAATATGCACAGACCAAGTAAACAGTACATAAACATTATCACATATCATTTGAATTTTTTCTTATTTTTCTGCCTATATTTATATTGATTACCATATTGAAAAATGTGCACAGACCCTGTATTTTGTACCCCAATGTTTTCAACAATACTTTATTATTTTTCTGATTTTCTAGCCTTATTGAATTTCTTTTCTTATTTTTCTGGCTGTCTTTGCATCAACTACTATATTAACTATATATCTATTTTCCCCCTTGTTGTCTGCTTTTCTATATATATTTTTATAATGGCAAATGTGCACAGGCCATTAACAATGGTCTATTATTTTTTCTTCTTTTTTTCTGACAGCAGTGGTGGTGTTGGAAAGACAGATCACATGACTATATCATATGATGTATCATATGATCATGTCATCTGACATGTACAATGTCCATATCTACATGCAATATGTCTTTGCTATCTACAAATGACAGTAACTAGATGATCACTATGAGCATATAAAGTGCACTATTCAATGATCCTCACCTCCCAGTAGATGTTACAGACAATCTGTACATTAAATGTGGGAGCTGTTGATGAAAGTCGTATGGCAAGCTGGAACGGTAATGGTGTGAAGACCCAGCTGCAATCTTGGTCGCAACTTGGTCCAAAGTGAGGAAGAATGAGAAAAAGAGACTGGATGTGGGTGTATCCTAGTAAGGGTTGAGATCACTCTGGAAATCCAAAGCTATAACCCCTGCTACTGCTTGGGAAATCCATGAGAGGTTGGATACAGACACAGGAAGGGATAACACTGCAGATCTGATAAGATCTGCCCTGATCAACTGGTGCTGACACTTGTTCTCTTCACTTCAGTCACCCACTGCCAACTGACTATTAGTCATGCAAACTCCACGTAAGTTACATGACTAAATGTCATGGACCATATCTATATTCTAGATATATATGGGTCCTAGAAAGCCCTGAAATCTAAAATATATTCTTGAGACATGGACCCTGAAATGTCACACAAAAATTATAATATCTGTGTCACACCACCAAAATATATTTTGCAAGTGAAATGCAGTAAGGATATATTTTTGGTGAGTGGACCCTGAGATGTCACTGTCACACCTTAGAAATATATTTTTGCCCTGGCTTGGCCTTGGGATATATTTTGTGAAACAGATGTGGTAAGGATATATTTTTCTGGTCTGTAGGGGTGTCAGGGGTCCTAGTTTCAGAAAAAGACTTGTGATTTTTATCCTGTCTGAGGTATATATTCTGGAAGATTCTGCAATGATTTCCAGATCTTTTGGCACTATGTCTGGCTTGTGCTCCCAGTATGTAGGTAGCAAGAAGGGGCATCAATAGCATCTGTGATCTACCTTGAAGCTAAGGTTCCTGAGTTGCTTAAGTATTATCCACTCCAAATGACACTATGAATACAGTTAGCAATACAGATTCTTTTAGCTGCTCAAAGTACTTTGGGCAGCCTTATAATACAATCCCCTCCATCTCTGCCTCTACTTCAGCTCCAAGATCTCCAGTTGGATCTTATCTAGATACTTGGCTTGGTTGGCAGGTCTACTCCACTGTTTATGTGCATCAAATCTATATGTGAAACATGGCACCTGCAAGATATCCTTTTGTTCACATTTCATCTAGGTGTTTGGCACTGCTCACTTCAGCTCCAAGATCTCCAGTTGCGTCTTATCTGCATACCCCACCAACATCTGTATTACCACCCTGCCAGTCAAACCCCTGCATGTGATATTAAACATCTCTTCCAACCTACTTTCACAA